CCATCTTCTCATTAGTCCCTACACATCCACATCCCTGCATTTGTGCGAGTCAAGCCCTCCTGCTCTCTCCTCTTCGCCTTCAGTTTTCCCTATGAGGCTCCAGTGTCCTCCTGCCCTCTTCTCCTAAACAGCACAAGGATTCTGCTTCTCTCCATCCTCTTCTTGTGGGTCCGTTCAGCATCTCAGGCACAACATAAGATGGTAGTTTCACTAACACAGACACACTCACGTGGCGTCCTACACTGGCTGGAGGGCTTGGTCTGAACTCAGCCTCCTCTCTGAAACTTCAGGCCTCAGAGCTGTCCTAAGTAGGATGTGTTCCTGTGTGGCCTTTCCTTTCCCCATGGGGTCAGCCCCTCCTACGATGCTTGGTCCCCCTCCAACAAGGACCTCAAGGTGGTTGGGAAGGGGTCTCTCTGTTCAGAGCAATTCCTGGTTCCTCTTGGCTGGGGCCACTCTCAGTTGCAGCTGCCCCAACCCTAGCTGGTGTCCAGGCTACCCAGTTGGGCTTCTGCCTCAGTTTCCCTGTCCAAATCTGCTAGTATATAGGCCAGGCTCAGGGGTACTGCCATCTGTGACCAGGCCCTCCCCATGGGTCAAACTCCACTCCCTATCTCTCCACAGGTGACCAAGCCCCTAAACCCCAAGGAGACCTGCCACCTAGTTGGCTGTACCCCCCTCCACCTTCTTCCCTCCACAGCTTCCACTTCCTCCCTGCCAGCTCCAAGGACTGGGCCCATCATGGTGTTGCAACTAGACACTTAAGAGAACCAGGGACAAGAGTGTGGACTGATCTGGGTGGAGGATACGAGCCTCATCCCTTAGACAAGCTCAGGCCAGTCCCAGGGATCAGGGATCCAGTCCTTCCTGGACATAAGGCAGGAGGGACTCAAGTCTGTTGAGCGTTGGTCTCGTTAAATTCCCCACCCCTACACCCAACTTAGCAATGTTACATAACGGGCATGTGGCCAAAGAGGAAACTGAGGCAGGACCAGGTTAAGGAATCTGAACCACACAGCTGGCAATTAGAGCAGCTTTGGTTCAAAGACCTACTCCTGATTCTGGGTTCTTCCTACTAGAGCAAACTGCTGCCCTGGGGACACCCCACACTCACCAACATGACTTGGCTTCTCATGCCCCGAGTATGTCCTGCGTGGGCACCAGGGAGCATCCCAGACCCAGACTTCAGACCCAGGGCCCAGCCTGCCCGACGGGCTGGAGGGAGGAGCCTGCCAGACCCCCGCCCAGCATGTGACACAGCCCCAGGAGCAGTCAAAGCCTGGCTGCGGACCAACAACCCTGCTGGGTGGTCCCCCACGGGCTGCGTGGCTGAGTGTTCCCCCTCCAGACCCCTCCCGACTGCGAATTCCTGGCTCCCGGGCCCCTCCCCCGATGGCCCAGCCAGTGTCTGAATCTGCTTCTGATTCCCGCTATGCCGACCAGGCCCCTTCTCCTCCCCTCTCTCCTCCTCGGCCCCAGCAGCCCCGCCCCTGGCTGGGCCCAGGCTTGAGCCTGCTGCGCCCCCCACCCCCACCTGGCACCGCTCCGCGGCCCTCGCTGCAGCCGGCGGGAGGCGGCGGCCCTGGCGCCCCAGGGCCTGCCCGCCCTCAGCCATTCCCGGAGGCCCGGAGACCTGCCCCACCCGGCCCTCCGTGGGTGAGTGTGAGCAGCGGGCAGCGGGAGGGGCCTCCAGGGACGGAGGAGCCTGGAGCTGGGGCGCAGGCTGTCATCGCTCCGGGCCGTGCAGGAGGACCCGCCAACATCCTCGCTGCTGCGCTAGGCCGGGGCGTGCCCGCGGCTGCACCCTCATCTGGGCCCCGGCTGGGGCCGCCCGGGGCCTGCGGTTGCTCCACTTTGCAGGCCAGCCAGCCGGCAGGCAGAGCCTCCGACCCGGGGGTTCCACCCCCACGAAGACAGCGGCGTGGGGCCACCGCCAGCTGGCTGACCCACGGAGGCTCCGGCCATGCCCGTCTGGCCCTGGGGGCTGCTGGTGACCGCGGGCACGCTCCTGGCCGCGCTGAGCCCAGGGCCGCCAGCGCCTGCAGACCCCTGTCATGAGGAGGGGGGCGCCCCCCGGGTCTGCGTGCCCGGCTTGGTGAATGCGGCCCTGGGCCGCGAGGTGCTGGCGTCCAGCACATGCAGGCAGCCGCCCGCGCAGGCCTGCGACTCCTCTGACCCGCGGCGGGCACACCCGGCCACCCTCCTGACCTTGGCCGGGGGCACCACGAGCCCTGTGTGCTGGCGCTCCGACTGGCTGACCCGGGCGCCCCTCAACGTGACCCTCACGGTGCCGCTGGGCAAAACGTTCGAGCTGGTGTTCGTGAGCTTGCGCTTCTGCTCCGCGCCCCCCAGCTCCGTGGCCCTGCTCAAGTCGCAGGACCACGGCCGCAGCTGGGTCCCGCTGGGCTTCTTCTCCTCCCGCTGTGGCCTGGACTATGGCCGCCCGCCTGCCCCGGCCAGTGGTCCGGCTGGTCCCGGGCCCGAAGCTCTGTGCTTCCCGGAGCCCCAGCCCCAGCCCAATGGTGGCGGTCTCCTGGCCTTCAGCGTGCAGGACAGCAGCCCGCCGGGCCTGGATCTGGACAGCAGCCCGGTGCTCCAAGACTGGGTGACCGCCACGGACATCCGCATAGTGCTCACAAGGCCCGCCGTGCCCAGGGACGCCGGAGACGCGGAGGCCGCCGTCCCTTACGCTTACTCGGCCACAGAGCTCCAGGTGGGCGGGCGCTGCAAGTGCAATGGGCATGCTGCCAGGTGCTTGCTGGACCCCCAGGGACACCTCGTCTGCGACTGCCGGCACGGCACCGAGGGCCCCGACTGTGGCCGCTGCAAGCCCTTCTACTGCGACAGGCCATGGCAGCGGGCCACGGCCCGGGAAGCCCACGCTTGCCTTGGTGAGGCCTTGGAGGGTGGCCTGGGGATCCTGGATCCCCCCAGCCCGCCCCTGACCCACCCCTCTCTGCAGCTTGCTCCTGCAATGGCCATGCCCGCCGCTGCCGCTTCAACATGGAGCTGTACCGACTGTCCGGCCGCCGCAGCGGCGGTGTCTGCCTCAACTGTCGGCACAACACTGCCGGCCGCCACTGCCATTACTGCCGGGAGGGCTTCTACCGGGACCCGGGCCGCGCACCGAGTGACCGCCGCGCCTGCAGGGGTGAGCCTGCGTACCCTCACCCTCCGGTTCCACGTATTCCCCGATGGGCTTCTGACCATGTCACCTCTGTCCCCAGCCTGTGACTGCCACCCGGTTGGTGCTGCTGGCAAAACCTGCAACCAGACCACGGGGCAGTGTCCCTGCAAGGATGGTGTCACTGGCCTCACCTGCAATCGCTGCGCCCCCGGCTTCCAGCAGAGCCGTTCTCCGGTGGCACCCTGCGTTAGTGAGTGACCCTCCCCTGCTTGGGCCGCCCCAGTTCCCTGCTGCTGCCTGCATATCCCCTGAGAGTTCCAGACACCCCTATACTCCCTCAAAGACAGGCCATTCTTCCACCCTCTCTGCAGAGACCCCTGTCCCTGGACCCACTGAGGAGAGCAGCCCTGTGGAGTCTCAGGGTGAGTGGGCACATATCAGGTCCTAGACTGGCATGCCCATGAGAGGAGAGGTGCTATGGGTTCAAGGAAGGTAGGAGGAGAGGTTGGGGGAAGGAGGCGGGGGATCTGTGCAGGTCTGCCCACGACCTTGTCTCCCCTTCCCAGACTGCGACCTGCACTGCAAACCCACCCGAGGCAGCTACCGCATCAGCCTGAAAAAGTTCTGCAGGAAAGACTATGGTAGGCAGCCCCCAGGCCTCCTGCCCCCACCTTCTGCCCTTGCCCTGCCCACTTCCCTTTGGATACCCTGACCCTAGCTGGGCCCCATCCCTCGTGCCCCACTGCCACTGGCGCTGCCCCCGCCAGCCCTTTGGTGACCTCTCTGCTTCCTCCGCTGCAGTGTCCTCTCTGTGCCCTCCCCCTCCAGCGGTTGTCCTCTGTTTCCTTCCTCTGCCCTCCCTCCCGGCCACTGGCGCCCGGTTCTCCTCCGAGCAGCCCGCCCCTCCCCAGCCTAACCCCGCCCCCTCTCCTCTCCGCAGCGGTGCAGGTGGCGGTGGGCGCGCGCGGCGAGGCCCACGGCTCGTGGACGCGCTTCCCGGTGGCCGTGCTCGCCGTGTTCCGGAGCGGCGAGGAGCGCGCGCGGCGCGGGAGCAGCGCCCTGTGGGTGCCCGCGCGGGACGCTGCCTGCGGCTGCCCGCACCTGCTCCCCGGTCGCCGCTACCTGCTGCTGGGGGGCGGGCCAGGGGCCGCGGCGGAGGACCCGGGGGGCCGAGGGCCCGGGCTCAGCGCCGCTCGCGGGAGCCTCGTGCTGCCCTGGCGCGACGCGTGGACGCGGCGCCTCCGGAGACTGCAGCGCCGCGAGCGGCGTGGGCGTTGCGGGGCGGCCTGAGTTCGCGCGCCAGGCTGGGGCGGGGCTGGGCGGGGCGCTGCTCCCACATCAAGGCGCACGTTTGACCAGTGCATCCGTCTGTGGAGGAGTCTTTGCTCACAGAGCGCGCGTGGCCGTCTGAGTCCCCACCCACCCCCGCCGGGCGCACCCTCTGCGCCTCTCGCCTGTGCCCAGAATGGGTGTGACCGACGCTGCGACTCGGAGGGATGTGATAGCTCCACTGAGTTGCTTGGAGCCGTCCTTTGGCAGCTGTTGTCCTGGATGACTCCTTGGACCTTGGACCCCCCACCCCCCACCCGCGTTATCTGCCCCCTCCCAGGGGCACTGTGACACCTACAGGCGGCTGTGCGCCTTCTGGGGGGACCCAGCACTTTGGGCCTCCGCTGGCACCCCAGGGGCCGCCTCCTCGTGATGCCGTAGCCCATCAGAGAGCGCTCTTACCTTTCTAAAAGGCACTGTGTGTCCCCCAAACAGTTACGAAGCCCCTTGTGAACCCAGGACACACTATGGGTCTGAGAACACACCGAGGGAGGGCCGCGGTGACTCCACTCCCCAGGGATCCTATCTTCCGCCAGAGAGCGCTATGGCTCCCGGAGAGGAGCTGTGGCCACACAGATGCCCGCAGACCCCCTTGGGCTCAGCGGCACTGGCTTCCCCGCCCCTGCCAGAACCCGCAGAGGGTGCTGTGGCTCCTCCCCCGGCAAGGACGGCGGCCTCTGGTCCCCGTCTGTCCCCTATGCCTGACCTTTCTCTACCGGTTGGGCCCCTATGTCCCTATGTCCACTGCGTCGGTGCCTCCGTCCGGCCTCTTCCTTGTCGTGCCCTGTCCCTGTCTCTGGTCTCTGTCTCGCTGTCTCTCTCGGATCCCGCCTTGAGGATCCCCTCCGGTAAAGTCCAGCTCCTAGGATCCCCTGCGTCCCTTCTCCCACTCGGAACCGGACGTCCTGCCCACCGTGTTGCTGCTGGGTCTACGCGTAACCCGGCGGAGTGGCAACTCCCGCGAACAGCCCCTCTGGCCTCCTGACGCCCCCAGCCCCGCTCTCCGCAGGGCCCGGTGGCCGGCCGCACACTCGATTTCGGCCTGGTGTCCTCCGCCCGCGAACCCCTCACGCTCCGCGCCGTGACCTGCCCTGAGCTGGCGCGGGCTCCCGCCGCCCGGCCAAGGGGCGTCGGTGCGCATGCCCAGAGCCCGCTGGGCTGAGACCCGCGGCGCCCGGGGTGGGCAGCCCTGGGCGCGTGCTCGGCGGGGGCGGGGCGGCGCGCGCGCATGCGCAGAGAAGCCCGCGCTCAGTGGCGCTGCGAGCGGAGGAGAAAGCGGTACGCGGCGCGGGGCGGCTCGGCGGCAGAGGTGGGTACGCGGCGGGCCCTGCATGGGGCGTGACAGCCGGCCACGGGTCCTCGGGGGCTACGGAGCCGGGTCGCCGGCTGTCACCGCGGCGGGGGTGTGCAGAGGGAGGGGGCGTGGGGGTCCGACGGTGGGGCCTTGGTCCGAGGTGGGGCGTGGGGGCTGGCCGCGGCACGGAGGTCTGGGGCCCAGGCCGCCTGCTTGTCACTGCCCATCGCGCCCCCCGTCCCCCCGCGGACCTCGGCTTCGCGGGACACTCACCCCGGGGGCAGGACCGGCGCCCTTCCTGCCAGCCGTCGGCGTCAGTCAGAAGGAATTGTCTCTGTCACCCCTGCCTCGGGCTGCTTTCCGACTGTGTCTCGCTGTGGGGTAGGAAATCCTCCTCTGGACTCGAAATTGCAACAGAATCTCTGATAACGTTCTGCCATGAAGACTGGCAAGTAACTACTCCCTTCCCTGCCCTCTGCTTGCCTCAGGATGACATGCCCGCCCACCTGTCGCCTTGCTTCTCAGCGGTCCGGTGGGTGCCCCCTGGGCATGGCCACTGGGCCGCGCGACAGAAGCATTCCCACAGGGTCCCTGGGCACCGTGCTACCGGAGCCTTGAGGAGCACAGCTGGAGGTCCGGGAGGGGCTACATCCGGGCATGGTTTTCTCCACGCAGGGGCACTGGTGGCCAGGGCACAGGTGTTCATCTGTGACCTTATGATGGAAACAGATGTGTTGTGGGCCTCCCGGATTACCACTCTCCGGGCTGACATTAAAGGCCACAGGTAGTTTAAGGACCAGCTGGGCTGTGCAGAGGCAGGGATTGACCATTGGATTAGTGGTGTGCTGGGAGGCACAGGCCTGTGGCTGATGTGGCTGTTGTGGGGATGATGGTGTTATGGTCTTTCCTAGTTTCTTATTCCAAGTCATTAGTTTGTCTTTCTGGGACCGATAGAAGCTCAAAGGGGGTTTTCCTTATTTCATTGTATGTTTGCTTGGGACCCAGCAAGGACTTCCAGGCCATTGCGTTTAAAAAGGGCCATCCCATTATTGGACAGATTTTTCCTCCACTGGAGGGTAAGGACTCCATCTTCACATTCTACCCCATCACATAGTAGGCATCTGTAAATGTTTGCTTAATTGTCTTAAAGACAAGGATGCAGGTTCTTTTTAAGGGACATAGACCTGGAGAAACAAAACCAGATAAGAGAAGATAAAGAAATCTCACAGCCCTAACCAGTTTGGCTCAGTGGATAGAGCGTCGGCCTGCAGACTGAAAGGTCCCAGGTTCAATTCTGGTCAAGGGCATGTACCTTGGTTGTGGGCACATCCCCAGTAGGGGGTGTGCAGGCGGCAGCTGATCGATGTTTCTAACTTTCTATCCCTCTCCTTTCCTATCTGCAAAAATCAACAAAATATATTTTTTAAAAAAAGGAAGAAGAAATTTCACAAAGGTGTTTGTTTCAGTATACAAAGGTTATAGCCAGTGGAATATGCACTTCCTTTTATTCTGAAAGTTGGTTCCTCAGCTAATCTTGAGCCCTCAGATAAAACCTTTAAGAGAAGTGCTTATCTGGTAGTGAGTGCTCTGTTTAGAAGCTTGTCTTTCCCTGTCAGCAGAGCTAGAGTCACATTGCATTCATCTTTGCTCCCCTATTGCCTGGCATGGAATGGGGGCCAGTCTCTCTTGAAGTGAACCAAGATGCTAAATAAAACTATTGTGGTGGTTTTCATCTGAAAGTAAGGGTGACCTTCTGAGGAATGTAGAAGTAATCTAATAATCTAAGCAGGCTTGCTTTTTTTTTTAAATTAAAAAATATATATGCTTTTATTGGTTTCAGAGAGGAAGGGAGAGGGAGAGAAATAGAAACATCAATGGTGAGAGAATCATGACCGGAATGCCTCCTGTATGCCCCACCCTGGGTATGTGCTCTCAGGAATCGAACTGTGACCTTCTGTTCACAGGTCAACATTCAGCCACTGAACCATGTCGCTGGGCTAAGCAGGCTTTTCATAACAATAATAAAATTCACCCCCTGGATCTGTAAGTTCACCGTCAGTTGGGTCTCACCAGCTCTTGCTGACCACACCTGCCAGGACAATCCAGAAGCCAAGTGACCTTGGGCACGCATTGTTGCTCCTAATTCTCATTACAGTCTAAGCCAACCTCAGATGACATATTTAAGTGTTTGCTTTTAGGTGGTTTCTGGTTTAAAGTACATAAAGACAATGAAGCAGGTTATAAAAAAGCACTTAACATTTACCCTGTTCAATGTTTTACCTGTTTGAGCATACCTTTTCTGTTATGACAACTCTGTACATGAAAGAAAGAAGCCCTTTTTAACTTGAAACAGCAATTTCAGTGACCGTTTCAAGTGTTACTTTCCAAATGGAGATAACGTCCAGGAAACAAAGCCTCAGGCTTTTTACTAAGAATCAACTTCAATTCATTATTTGATGATATTTAAAAATTCCACACAAGTTTACTAAAATCATCATTCGCATGAGGAGGGCCTGTACCCTGTGTTCTGTGGCTACAAAGCTGAGTGAGTCTCTGCCCTTAAGGAGCTTACAGTGGAGTCAGGAGAAGGGCCGGTGAACTGGGGCACTGGGAGGCACCCCCACAGAAGAGGACAGAGTTTGCTTTGGGCATAGAGTGGCATTCAGCTGGCCTCTGGTGGGGGCTCCTGGGAAATGCTTGAGCTAAATTTTGAAGGTTGAATAGGAGTGGCAAGACCATCAGAGGGAAAGAGCCTCCTGGGCAGAGACTGTGTATGTGAAGTAAAGAGCATGGCCTGTTGGGAGAAGGGCAGGGAGTAGCTCTGGTGGTTGGAGTCAAGAGAGGGAGGTAAAATTAAAGAGCTAGACTGGCAGCAGATTGGGAGAGGCCTTGCATACCAGGCCCGAGTTTGAACTTTACCCTGAGAGTGGTAGGAAGTCACCAAGGGATCTTGGGTCTTGAGACCGATCAGATTGTGATCTGCACTGGTAACCTGGCAGTGATTGCTGGGATGGCTTTGTGGAGGGTTGCACTGACACAAGGGTGGTTAAAGGACCACGATGGCCCGGACCGGTTTGGCTCAGTGGATAGAGCATTGGCCTGTGGACTGAAAGGTCCCAAGTTCGATTCTCTTCAAGGGCACATTCCCAGTAGAAGGTGTGCAGGAGGCAGCTGATCGATGTTCCTCTCTCATCCATGTTTCTAACTCACTATCCTTCTCCCTTCCTCTCTGTAAAAAAAATCAATAAAACATATTTTTTTAAAAAAAGGGGGGGACCACCATGGCACATCTAGAGAGACATAAGGCCCAGTACCAATGAAGGGCTGTGGAGGATACAGAAAGGAGAGCAATGAAATGGGACAAAGGAGGGGGAACAATAAAAATAAATTATAATTTTTTTAAAAAGGGAGAGAAAAACCATGAGGCTAGTGGCTGAAGGGATGGGGAAAGGGCCAGGGAGAAAGGAAGACTTAGCAAGCTGGGTCCATGCCACGCACAGTGTGTTGGAAGGGGACAGGCTTGGGAGCAGGTGCTGACTCTCAGTTTGGAGATGTTGAGCTGAGGGCCGGTAAGGCTTCCCAGCAGTAGGTGGATCTATGTTGGTCTGGAGCCAGGGAGAGTGTACTGGGCTTGAGAGCGTTTTGGGGACTCCTTTCTTTGTCACAGTAAAGCCAGGGAGAAGTGGAGGGGGCCTTTGCAGGAGAGAGTATGGAGTGAGAGAAAAAAGGACCGAACCCTGGAGGCACCTAATGTTTTAAGTCTATAAAACACAGAGTAGATAAGCGAACAGAGTTTTCATTAATAACTCCTTGCCTTTTTTGGATTGTGGAGGCAGGAGAGTGGACTTTTTTTTAAAAAAATATATATATTTTATTGATTTTTTACAGAGAGGAAAGGAGAGAGATAGAGAGCTAGAAACGTCAATGAGAGAGAAACATTGACCAGCTGCCTCTTGCACACCCCCTACCAGGGATGTGCCGGCAACCAATGTACATGCCCTTGACCGGAATCGAACCTGGGACCCCTCAGTCCGCAGACCGAAGCTCTACCACTGAGCCAAACCAGCTTCGGCAGGAGAGTGGACTTTTAATTTCTGTGACAAAGGCCCGATTTGTTGGTTAGAGTAAATAGCAAGATGTAAAATGCTCAAGGCACAAAAATCACACAATCAGTTCAGGGTACTTTCTTGTCTCACATGTTTATTTGCCTTTTGGGACACTTTCAGGTTGTCACTCATCTCAAAGGACCACTTTTCCCTCCAGACTGAGGATTGGCCCTCTCAGAGCATTCCACAATTTGATCTCTGAAAAAAAGGTCCTCTCAAACCCAGAGATAAATCCAAGGTTGCAGAATTTTTGGGGTCCCCCTGCACTCCTTCCAGGATCCCAGTTTCTGTGTGCTACCTCAGCAGCAGCAGGTGGGACTTTGGAAAGACTCTGTTAAGGATAAAGAGGCCAAGTGTGTGGTGGCTCCTCCCTAGTCTTTCTCCCACACTGAGGGCCAGGGAGAGAGGGCAAGGAAAGGCTGACATTTCTTTTCTTTAAAAGGTTGCCACACTTAAAAAAAAAAATGTATTCTTATTTATTTCAGAGAGTAAGGGAGAGGAAGAGAGAGATAGAAACATCAGTGATGAAAGAGAATCATCCGTCAGCTGCCTCCTGCATGCTCCATACTGGGACTGAGCCTGTAACCCGGGCATGTGCCTTTGACCAGAATCAAACCCAGGACCTTCCAGTCCACAGGCCAGTGTTCAATCCACTGAGCCACACAAGCTAGGACAAAGGCTGATACTTTTGTTTTTTGTTGTTTTTTTTTTGGGGGGGAGGCTCAGGAGTGTGGGCTGCAGGGACAGACTGCCAAGAGGCTCCAGCATCGCCACCTTTATTCATGGGTCCCGGGCTGGGCACAGGGTAAGGGCCCTGGCGACCCTCCCCGCAGGGAACAGACGGGACCCCAGGGCCCTAGCCCCTGCTGAGGGGCTGCTACGGCCACAGGGCACACACCCCAGGGCCAGAACCCCATGAGGCACCAGGGAACCCAGGCCTGGAGGTGATACTTCTAAAGGAGCCCCTGTCTGCCCACAGGACTGGCCCAGCCCCTGGATAATTGCACAGGCCAGGAGCAGTTATTTTTGCCTCCGGTACCTGCTCACTTAGAAGATGTGAGATAAGATCTCTTTCTGTTCTGTATTGTTATGTCTGCGGGCCTGCCTGGGTACTGCACAAAGATACGCTGTCAGGGGTCACCTGTCAGCAATCATGGTTTCTCCTTCCATCCCACTCAGGCATGCTCTCTTCTTTTACAGGTGATTGAGGACACACTACACATGGCTTAGCCTGTGTCTCAGAATCTGAAACGGTGTGTCTGCTACTGGTCACACTTCTAATGGGTATACCACAATAACTGAGGGTTGTTTACCAATGGGCGATTCTGTTACCAATAGAAGCCCCTCCCTGGGGCTTCTAAATGTAAGTCATTACCTGCTTCTGGTCAAAAGCTCCCCTCACCTTTGTCCCTTCAGCCTTTCCTTGAATCATGTTGCCCTTGTTCCCTAATTCTCCTCTAACTCCTTTCCTGGCAAGGGTTGTTCTAGCCTTGGTAAACCTGTGGACCTGGGCTGATACATTAGCTCCCCTGCCTCTGGCATGTTTCCCGTCTTCCTGGGCTGAACCTTCCCCACCGCCTTGGACACAGGAGTACTTGGCTTCCTTCACAGCACTGTGAGCCCCGGAGGCCTCTGTCTCAGGTCCTTTGGCATCTTGGAGTCCAGGAAACTAGACTATAGAATTGTCTTAATCTGAGCCACCAATGGCACTCACCGGCCTTCCCCCTTAAAGAGCTGAAGGGTTTGCCAGCCCAAGTAGCGGAGGCCCTGTCCCGTGCCCCTGCTATTTCTGCTGCTTCCTGGACATAGACCACCTCATCTTTCAGGATTTAGCCGCGATATCACTGGCTCCCAACCCATCTTTCCTCAGGGACTGGCGGCCCAGACACCCTGTGCTTTCTTGCCAGAGCACCTGTGCCTGAGTTGGCACGGCCAGTACACCCATGTCCCCACAGCCAGAAGCTCATTGA